ATTTTTTCTCTCTTTATGATGATACTGTAAAAGGAAATGGAAAAAATGTTACAGAAGAAAGAGAAAAAAATTCTTTCCAATGATAATTCTTTGTCGCCTTTTATATAGCTTTCGAAACAATAGATACACTCAGAAATATTTTTGAGTTTTAATGTATAAAGGAGAAAGAAGATTACGAGTTGGCTGCATAACAAAAAAAAATATGGCGCTTGAATGTACAAGTAATAAATCGCAAATATTTTCCGTCCAACCTTGATCGTAAAAGAAATCCATAATATTATCCATTTAATTTTGTTTTTATACATTTATTTATTTGTTCCACAACAACTAAATTGTTGCTTTCTTGCTTTTGTTTTAATTAATCTCCTACTTAATCTCCAGGCCATTCATATATGTATATACAATCATTTACAGGTCACTAGTCAGCTTTCTTCTCTTTTATTCTTCAAGTATATTCGTTTTTTGTCGTTTTTGTTTTGTTAATTATTTCACCCCAAGCGACGTTGGAATGCCACTAGTACGCAGGGAGTGACAGAGAGTGAAAGTGAGAGAAAAGACTGTGTAGAGGAAGGAATTGGGTAGACAAAATAAGAATGGGGTTCAAGAAGACAGAAAATGGCGATTGGCGTTGCATTTAAAATTTTGAAGATTGTAGTTATCAGGGAAGCAATAAATCTGAAGGAGGTTGCACAGACGAGAAATGAGAGAAAAGAAACTCTTGGAGTAGAAGATGTGGTTACCTTTAGATATTTCCACAGTAAACGGGTGGGACCTAGATACCAATCTAGGTCCCACCCGCTTAAAGAGATGATGCTACTAAGACGCAAAGGGATTACTGAGAGTGAAAGAGAACGAGAATATTTTAGTGAGGAGAAAGGACAATAAAAGAACAGGTTCAAGAAAAACGGAAGATGGCGATTAGAATTGCATTTAAATTTTTGAAGATTGTAGGTGGCAGGGAAGTAAAAAAATTGGAAGGGAGTTCCACAGGCGTGAAGTACAAGTAAAGTAACTATTACGATAGAACATACTGTTGTATCTAGCTAGTTCAACAGTAAAACTGTGAGACCTAATTGCCAATATAGCATTGGGATTAAATTCATACAGTCGAAACATCAAGTGGGGAAAGCTCATCAGAATAGATGCCATGAAAATATTTGTAGAAAAGACAGAGGGAAGCCACGTTACAACCGTGAGAAACTGACTGAAGTCGAGTTGCCAAGTCAGCATAGATTGCATTGCATCTCCTTCTTTGGATTTTGTCAAGAACCTCAAGATGAATAACAGGAACACCAGACCAGATATTGCAGCAGTATTCAATGCCAGGATGAAGATTTATCATTATATACATGAGGACTATTGTCCTCATCTTTGTTGTTGTCGTCACAACATTTCGGCCGTTGTGTGCTCCGGCCTTCAACAGATGTTTAATGTTGTATTTAATTGAGTCAGAAATAATTTTGTTTTTATACATTTTTTCTTTATTTCTTGTACAAAATCTAAATAGTTGCAGCCTATTTTTTTAAATCGTTTCACTCCAAGCAAGGCGATAATGCCACTAAGACGCATGGGTTTTACAGGGAGTGAAAGTGAAAGAGAATGAGAAGACTAAGAATGGGGAGGATTGAGGGAAGAGCAAAAAAGAAACAGGGTTCAAGAAGACAGAAGATGGCGATTGACGTTGCATTTAAAATTTTGAAGATTTTAGTTATCAACCAAGAAATCGGAAGGAAGTTCTACATGTGGAAGGTAAGAGAAATAAAATTGTTAAAGAAGAAGTGAGTGTTGCATCTAGCTAGTTCAAGAGTAAAACAATGAGACCTAATTGCCAATCTAGTAGCGCGCTTAAATTCATGTAGTCGGGGCACTAGGGAAAACGTTTATCAGAACAGCTGCCATGAAAATATTTGTAGAAAGGATAGAGGGAAGACACGTCACGATGGTGAGAAAGTGACTGAGGTCGAGATGTCTGGTCAGGATCAATTATATTACAGATCCTTTTTTTAGATTTTGTCAAGAATCCCAAGATGTACAGCAGGAGTATCAGACCAGATATGGCAGCAGTATTCAAAGCATGGTCAAATGGTTGATTTATAAATATGTAACATGGATTTTGCTGAGAAAAAATAAGAATGAAAAGAAATTAAAAGAAAGGAAGAAAGAAAGACAAAAAAATTCAATTAAGGAATGGAAGAAGGAAAAGTTGTTCAAAGAATAAAATGAATAAATATATTATGCAATGTGTGCTTAAACAGCTACTGCCTGAATTCAAACCCTTTGTGCTATTTCCGTTTAGTGCTTTTTCTGCCATGTCATGTCGATGAGAAAGAGACTGAGGTCGAAATATCTGGTCAGGATCGATTACATTACAGATCCTTTTTTTGGATTTTGTCAAGAATCTCAAGATATACAGCAAGATCATCAGACCAGATATGTCATTAGTCAGTGTATGGATAAATGGCCAGCAAATATGAGGTGCCGACTTCCTGTCAAGAGGAATATGATTCCCCTTTTATCAACGTTTAGAGTAAAATCGATAAAAAAAGACAAGTACTAAATATAAAAATGACTGATTCTTGAACAAGTCATATGCCAATCTAGTAGCATGCTTAGATTCACGTAGCCGAGACACCAGGGAAAAGAATTCGTCAGAGTAGTTGCCATGAAAATATTTGAAGAAAAGACAGGGAGAAGTCACGTCACATCGGTAAGAAACTTCCCGATGTCTTGATGCCTGGTCAGGATCGATTAAATTAGAGATCCTTCTTTGGAATTTGTCAAGAATTTCAAGATGTACAGCAGTAGCATCAGACCAGATATGGCAGCAGAATTCAATGCATGGACAAATGGTTGATTTATAAATATGCAACATGGATTTTGATGAGAAAAAAGAAGAATGAAAAGAAACTAAAAGAAAGGAAGAAACAAGGAAAAAGAAATTCAATTAAGGAAGGAAAAAAGGAAAAGTTATTCAAAGAACGAAAGAAATGAATATATTATGCAGGGCAATGTATGCCTAAACAACTACAGCCTGAATTCAAACCCGTTGTGCTAATTTCGTTTAGTACCTTTTCTGCCATGTCATGTCGATGAGAAAGGGACTGAGGTCAAGATGTCTGGTCAGGATTAATTACATTACAGATCCTGCTTTGGATTTTCTCAAGAATCCCAAGATGTACAGCAGGAGCATCAGACCAGATATGGCAGCAGTATTCAATGCATGGGCAAATGGTTGATTTATAAAAATGCAAAATGGATTTTGATGAGAAAAAAGAAGAATGAAAAGACATTAAAAGAAAGAAAAACAAAGAAATTCAATTAAGGAATGGAAGAAGGAAAAATTATTCAAAGAACGAAATAAATAAATATATTATACAGTACAATGTATGCCTAAACAGCTACTGCCTGCATTCAAACCCATTGTGCTAGAGTTTCGTTTAGTGCCTTTGCTGCCATGCTTAATGGATGTCAGTTATCAGTTATCGCCTGTCAATTCCCCTCTCCAAGTTCTCCACTCTCTTAAACAGGTATTGAACTCACACTCTTTGGGTCATGTCACTGGATCTAACCAACGACTTTATCCACTGTGCCATGTGTCCTTGAGGAACTAGAACAGTCTACCCCAGTGAGCGAAATAAAGGTTTCAGTTCGACATTCCAACCACCTGAAGAAGGCCGGAGCGTACAATGGACGAAACGTTGTAATAAATATGGCGAGAAAGATAAGGACAATAGTCCGAATAATAAGGTTTAAATCTGTCAAGCGCCTTGGCTACTGAATTACCTTATTTTCGAAAACTGAGTTGTATTTTGTGTGTGTTCAGCTGCAGCGAATTTAGTGAAGTCTCTAACATGTTCCATATGAATAATATCGCAATGAATCAGATTACGTAAAGATTTTTCTATTAGGTATCTTTTAGACTAAATCAAGTACGCTGATTCTGAATCTGTACTCAAAATTGTTCTAGCAGGTCAGGAACTTGCGTATGGCTACTAAGGAGTTGATACCATTTACACCGAAAAAGATTATCTGTTACCCAGCAAGTGACTCTATACGACATTAAATGGAGTAAGCAGATTCGGAACATGTAATTGTTTTAAAACAGAGACATAGAATATTTATATTTAAGGCAAAGTGCATATATATATATATATATATATATATATATATATATATATGATCTGAAATAGTTAATCAACACTTGATTCTGTCTGTATTTCTGAGATGGAGTATTGTAACTATTTAAACTATTTACATCCTTTGAATTGTTGTCCTAATCTTTACTGTCATATTCACGACGTTTCGTACGTTGTTCGTTCCGGCCTTCTTCAGGTGATATACTTTGGAATTTCGAACCAAAGCCCTTATTTAGTCTACGGGGGTAGATTTTTCTACTTCCATGTGCCATACATTTTCTGGATATCTCAGTTTACAGTTTGGGAGATTTATTGTTTTCGGCTAATGATGTTGTCCTTATTTTCCATGGTTGCTTTGTGTGATTTGGTTTTTGATTTTAATTTCCCATATATGTGTTTAGAAAGCATTGCGCTGTTCGGGTATTTACTATTTGTAAAGGATGTTTTGTGTGCATAGTTTCTTTGTTTCCAAGGTCCTTCAGTTACTTCGTTCAATGCTGGTGTTACAGTGGTTTGATATATTACACACACGTACATACACACACAAATACATATATATATATATATATATATATATATATAGAGAGAGAGAGAGAGAGAGAGAGAGAGAGAAAGACAGATAGACAGAGACGGGGAGAGAGACGGATATTATATTGCGTACTGATTTTGTCTCAGACAAAAAATAGTAAGAGAACATATACATCTTTACTTATTATTAGTTCAGGCAGCTTCCACATACATGCACACAATCATATATACGCATGCACATACATACATACATACATACATACATACATGCGCACTGTTGCGCAATTTCGTGACAGTACGCGTTCCCACCCAAAAGTTCATAAAATTTGGCCATGA